ATCAAAGGTTCGGCTTCACTCGTCTCCTTGACGAGTTGTAATATAGTGCTACGAATGGTAAAATTCACTGACGATGTCGACTACGATGCCGGTGAAACGTCTGGGAATGTACCACGTCCACAGTCCGACTTTGGAAATAATTATGCATACAATGGACTCAGGACAAGGTACGTTTCTATAAATCTTCCTACCATTATGACCAAGTTGCGAAAACAAGGTCAAACAACTTCTATACAACGAAAGGAGACTGTACCACACAAAAAGCCACACCATCTTCATATCTATATAAGTGGGGTTGAGAGAAAAGAGATTCAGCTGCTTATTATGGACTTAAGACTATTGGAACGTGTAGCTTAACATGCTTTTTCTGCTCTACCATGAAAAATCTATTAGCGATTCGCTAGTGCCTGAGCAGCGTGGACTCTCAGAATGACTAGAGCTCATAATTGTGGGAAGATAGACCATATTATCGTATTTTATGTCTAAGTATAATTAATTAATGTGATCTGATTTTACACTTTACAATTTTACAATGATGATATTTTTAATTGAATAACCTTTTTAATGAATACTTCATTTTTCGATTTTTTTAGATTGGCGTGCAGGTCCGACGCGCCGAGGTCTATTGGCACTACTTGAGTCGAGAGCGTGACATGATGATGCAAATATTTGAGTTTCAGACCGATGCCTTTCAATTCACTTCAGGGCTCGGCTTCCATTTGGCACCTGGAGCCCGGCCCCATATGTTTCGCACCCGGACTGCACATAGCCTGCCGGTTGGATCTGGCAACCCTGCTGAGGGGGGCTGGGGTGTTGAATCAGCCAAGGGTGAGCCAATAAAAACTGCTGCCAGGCACTCCTGCTGGCAAACTCGAGGTGAACGAGACATAGCCTCGCGGTCTGGAAAGTATGAGGCCAACGATGAGCAAGGCTCGGAAGAAGAGGCGGAAGAAGAAGAGTTGGAGGAAGAAGACGAAGAAGAGACTGAGGAGAATCAAGAAGAAGAAAATCTGTCCGAAGAGGAGATAAAATCATCTTCGATTCCGCAAACTGGCTCAAGTGTTCGTTCACGCGCGCCTACTATTACAGGATCCATGGAGGCTGGTAGCTCTTCAGGCCGGCCAGTGGCGGCTTCGGAATCCATAAGCAAAAGTGGTGTAATCTCTGCGATTGCCTCTGCACCAAGATCACCTTCAACTGAACAGTCTGAGATAATTGAGGCCGAGACAGAGCCGTTTGCAATGGCAATGCAGATACAGGGCCTCTGCTCTGACTTGGCCGGTATTTTGCGTTCTGTGGTGACCGAGGGTCGAGTGAATGCCAAGGTGGAGAGCCCCATTCAGTGCGAGCTAGAAAAATTTTATAGACTTTCTTATGCTTGTCTATTGGTTTGGCGTATTGTTTTATTTCACGCTTTTGGGAAGCTTGCAAGCAGCAAAATCTTATTTACATGATAGTTTCGTCTATAAATTTAGTGCTAACTTTCAAGCTTCGCCAATATGCATAGGCATTCATAAGTCGTGGTTAGGTCTGAACCTCGAAACAAAGGCCAACGTATAAAATCTATTTTTCCACAAGTCCTTTAAACGGCACCAAAAGGTTGCCACTGAAATGATTCCAGGCAAGAATCTTATTTCGTTTAAGGTGATAAGTATTTGTAGTTAAATTTTTCCACGATATTTTGAATAGGCCTCATGTTTCCATTAAAAATCGCATAGCCTTGCTTCCCAAAGGATATTCTTATTCAAAATGGGTTCTAGTTTCTACCTAGTCTAGGTCATATCAGCATCTATCGAGACTGGCAGCGCGTAGAAGGCCAGACTTTTTCCATATCACTTTTTCTGGTTTGAATGTCGATTAGGAAAAGTTGTATTTGATATAGCAATCGACTGCATTTCTTATTTTAGTTTTACAAGTAAGTTTTTTAGATCATATATATTTATATATATATACATGATGTATTCACCATCCAGAATCTTTACTACAATGGGGCTAAGAGGATATTGAGATTAGGATAGTTCTACTTTATTGGTTAGCAGCAAGTCAAATTCAGTTCTAATCCAAGAGCGCCAGATCCGATCTGTCATCATCTGAATAGGATGCAACATGCTAACTTGGTTCACCACATCTTTTCGATATTCTTGAAAATTGGTTTTCTTATCATGAAAGCGTTAATAGCATCAGCTGCCAGATTACTGTAATAAAATGCATGATTTTCCTACTACCATTGTCCCAACACTCGTTACATGTTGGGATAATATGATGAGAATGTAAAGTGACTGTGAGATTCAATGTTATCGCCATAAACCTGATGGATTTATATAGTTTACTTTAAGGACTCAGTTGTCACAGCTTAGTCATAATTATAATAGCCACACTAAGGGATCTTCCATTGCTCGATGTCATTTTAAGTTGTGAGGATATATTCCCATCCCTTACGTTCTATCTATTCTTATGCATGGAAATATACGGTCTATCATATTAGGAGACTAAAATGTGTTCTGGAATGAAGTCGAATAACATATTCCAGTAATTGCAAATAAGATATATTTAAATGATGGCCAGATGCCCCTTAAATGCAAAACAAATAAGTAAGGCATAAATACTACTGAAAATATCTCTTTTTGTCACCAAGTTATCACGTTTGTTATGTTTACATGGCTTTTGATAGGCTGCAAATGTGATCTGTATAATACTCTTATTACATTTGCTTTATGCTTGTTCAATTTTTCTCTAAATCTCTACTTTATGTTCAATTGTTATTATATACTAGTTTCAGGCCTATAATTTAGCAAAGTTACATTCAAAATCGGTCGGTTCTCAAAATGTAAGAAGCTTTGTATTCTGTTTTTTTTAGAAATCATTTTTATTCACCAGCCTACATGCTTGTAACTATTATTTTGTAATTTTGACTCAAAATATCGGCCAGATTCACCAGCTCTACCACGTATTCTTCTGCTTGCCACACAAGGTCTACTGTCCCAACCTTTCCATCAGTCATTTGCAAACATCTTCTGCTTGGTTAATTCGTTCGCTAGAGCATGGCACCTCCGAAGTTTCCAAAAGTCAATCAGCCAATATCGAGGACAAGAACCGGTTCCTATCTAGTCTTGGGACTTTGCATTCAAAATCTTCCTCTTTATTCTCCCGTGCAATATCCTTAGGTAATGTTTCTATGAGTGGTAGTGGCGCATTCGGAACAGAAGCATCAGCAGGCCATCTTCTCGACATCGTGTCTCAGGCTCATATCATGCCTGGTATCCGCCCTCTAGCTGTCTGGAGAGCTATGGACTGCATTCGGCCTTATCATGCTCTCCTACTTATTACGAAGAAAGAAGAACTCCTGCTCAAACACCTGCCGCCTGATGTCAATCCAACAATGATCGAGTGAGTTGCTAATCGCTTTCATGCATCTTTAATGCAATCTACTTTGTCTCTAAATAATGGATCTAGTCACCATGGGTTGCTTGAGGTGATGCAGAATTGATAGTTAAATTTTCTGACATTAATATAAATATTACTTAAGCGTTCATTGAATCCCACTTTGCCTTCCTTTCAAAAATGACCTATCATCCAAGATGGGCTGAACTTTTTACAATCCAACTCACTTCCTATAGCTAACTATGCTGGATTTCACCGGACCTAATGAGACTCAAAACTATTCAAGCCTCTCTTTGTTCAGCGATTTTTCCTATACTCCCTCTTCCTGTATCCCCTTAAGTCTATCTAACAGCAACAATTTCTTACATTCATTACTCCTAATATTATACATGGATGGGAAATCTCCGTTGCCTGCAAATTGCTGTTTTTGACCATCCTATTTTGTATCCTATATTAGCCATGTGTTCAGCTAGCTCGGATTTTTGGACCCATAGACCTTTTCAGTCGATCTTAATTTAAGATAACCTTTGATGTATTCACAAACTTCCTCAACTTGATTCTAGTCTTTAGAATGCATTTGGTATGCCCAAAATTTACAAAAAGGCATCCCATTTTGTATCTTTCTATATAATGAGGGTTGTGTGTTGCTTAAAAAATCACAATTTATTCGTAGTCATCATAAGCAAATCTCAGGATTGTTGCACTTTCCAATAAAGAACTCTTAAGACTTTTTAGAGAGCTTGATATCACTGAAAATATGTGCATGGCTATAATAATCTACTATAATCTAGAGCTACCTAGCTTAGTATGGAGTAATTTGTATAGAAGAAGAAAAGTTACAGCAAATGACCCAGTATGGAAAGGAAAAAAGGACGGCAGCATTTAATGTGTAATGAGAGATGATTGCGTACTTGTTGATTATAATGATGGCTGTTGCAAAACTTTGCGTGTAACGATTGCTTGTGATAAGACAGAAGACTAACAAAACTGTAAGTGTGACGTATTACTCATGAAAACTGTATTAAACTAGTAGGTCAACAAGTGATTTGTCTGCTAATTTTAAAATACTATTGATGTACCCTAATCTTGATGGGAAGACTTTCATTTCCTATGCAAATACATGAAAAGATTAGGAGGTCGATATTACCAGAAGACGATGACCCATTCTCCTCGTACTTCAGCTTTAATACAACATAACGGCTGAGGTACAACGGCTGCAGCCGTTGTCTTCTGGTAAGATTGATCTACGAATCTCTTCATCATCAATTTCATACGAAATGAAAGTCTCCCCATTAATATTAGTTACTAATTAACCAAACTTGGTAGATTACAACTTTATAAATCCCTTCCACCCACCTATTCAAACGAAATGAAAGTAATACTAATATCTAGATGTATGCTTTATTATGGGAATTGCAAATATAGCCGACTGATTAATTCCAGCTTATTTATAATCAGCTTGAATTGAGCGAACTTATTTGTAAATGAGTTCATAGTTCTTTTCATATACACTAAGCTTTGAATTAGTGTTAACTTGAGACATTTGCAAGAATGAGCCCCAGCTCTAATGATGTTCATCATATGACTAACGAAAGCCCAGCCCTCTTTTGCCTGAAATGAAGAAAGATGTCTCGTGGAGTGCGCCAATCTGAACGTTACATTATAGCCAAACGACTGCAATACAATGAGAATCGGCCATCTTATTCTAATGAGATTGACTCTAATAATTCTATCTTATTAATTCAATAAATTTTAATGTTATTTCGTGATGCTCCCTTTATAATTTTCGTATTTTTTTATCCTAACCTTTTTTCTTAAGATTCATCCAATGTCTGACTCCCCTCACCAACCTTCATAGTCTTTCACTGATGTTGCACTCTCAGGAACATTGTCTCCGCCTTTCTATGTGGCTCATCTACCGTGGCCATGCTATCATCATCTACCCAATTGCAGGAAATAATACCTACATCCTTTCACCTTTCTTTGGGCACTGGTTCCAACCCTACATGGTGCTTCAGTTTGCTACCGCCTATCCTTGCATAAATCTTGCCGAGGTGGTTACTTTCTATCTTTTATCTCTCTCTGTATATATCTTTTTTACAGAAGGATTTGGAATAGGACATTAATGAAATAAAATTAGCTATACTTTGATTTAATTATTTTTTTTCTATTTTAATAATTTCTTCTAATGCAGTCAAGTTGATGCAAAAAGCTTGTATATACTTGATGAAGGGAATCCAGTTTCGGTCTAAGTATCTGTATAAATCGGATTCTAGCTCCTAAAGGTCAACTTTAAGTTTGTGAAAGCTACTCTCAATATATGTAAATAAAAGCTAGGTTTCAAAGATTTTCTTAGTTCATAATTGCTGAGCTGACTTCAATTTAGAGTAAAAAAGTTTAGTGAAGAGATTCGAAGACCGTTCCCACAAGAAGACAACGGTCGAACACTTACCAGTTCATACCTAAATGCTGTATGTATACCCTATATATAAGCTCTTTGAAGAGATATAAAGTGAGTTGGTGAGTTTTCTTATCTCGTTTGCTAGAATATGGTTGCAAGAATGGTATTCCTCTATTGATGATGTTCGCCGTACGACGGACGAAGGCGTAGCACATTCTCATCGGAATCGATAGAAATTGCCTCGGAAACAGCGTCAACAAGAATCCCAGTAAACCAATCGATAGTTGGCCAAGAAGCATCCACCGTCGTCTTCTGGTTAAATCAATCTTCAAATCTCCTCAACAAACACTTTCACTCAAAATGGAAGTGAGCTCAATAATTATAAACCAAGGGATTCTTTGAAACCCAGCTCTTCGCATATATTGCAAGTAGCCCTAATGGAACTTCAAGTTGACTTTTGGACGCCAGAATCCGATTCATACATATACTTGGACTGATACTGGATTCCCTCCGCTAAGTTTTACACATCAAATTGGCTGCAGTAAAACAAATTATTAAAATAAAATAATTCGATCGAATTATAGCCAATTTTATTTCTTTACTTTTTTCCAACTCCTTCCGCAAGATCATACTTTTTTCCTAAATCTTCATTTAATCTAAGTCGCATAATTGCAGCACTACAATCGTTAGATATTTGATAGTTTTGTCTACTTCTGGTTCGATACTTTATTTAAAGCTGGCCTGTAGTATTTAGCTAAAATTGCGTTAATCATAGCGCGAGCGTAATTCTGTCTGTTTATGAAACCTCTTAATTTAAATTTTGGAAATTTCATTTTTAGATTCTCGCATCCTTCTCTAATGGCGTCACATTGAAAGACACTGGACCCGAAAATAGGACATCCACGTACCAACTTTGTTCTGATACTGACTACTCTGATCAGGCCAATTATCGTTGGTCAAATCTTCCGAGCTCCACAAAGGTTGGTATCATTACTTGGCTTCTTCGGAGACGTCTAATCATTCAGGTAAATATTGTGCCATCCATACTGGTATTACTTTTGCTACTCCGGCACACTGCTAATTGAACTCATTCTCTTACCCAAGTTTATTTAAAGATTTTTGCTTTTAAATTTGATTAATGCATTTTATATCCAATTGACTCGTTTTGTCCTTGCCCCTAGCCTAGTAGATTCCAAGGCACAAATCTAAAACTAAGTGCTCAAGTCCAGGCCTGATATATCCTCATTATCGGTTTCGCTCTTCTATTTTCTTAAACATGTCTCTTTCGTTGGCTTGATTTTTATTCAGCCATGTAGGATTCTAGGTTCAACTCAAGCTTATGACTTTGTCTTCGCTTGCGTCTCACATTCGTCTCTATGGCTTCATTTCCTCTCCTGGCTTTCCCTTAGCTCTATTTTATTCTTTTTATAAGGATGAATCGGCTTTTGATTTGGCGTATTTCTTCGCCAATTGCTTGCCTTTCATGCCTCCGCGCTTGTGTTTTTACTAAATCGTTACTTTTAAAATAATGTCCTGAAATTTTATTATATTCTTAACTGGATGCTATTTTACTCTAAACCCCTAATTAAAGGTATTCGTGACCAGAGTTACCCAACTTAGTTAAAGACCCTAGCCATTGAACTTGCACGTTGTGCATTTTAGGTTTTCTTTATTCTATGTAATCTCTTTTCTATGATGTCGTGTTATAAGTAAATCAAACTATGATAAATGAGTTAGCCACTTGGTTACTGAGTAAAACCCAACTATGGGTTTCCATTTTGCTTAGATTCCATGCTTTCATATTCTTCTTCTTCCTTTCCTAGCTTCACACTTACATTGTTTCTGCACTGGACTCCGTTCTATCCTGTTTGCCTCAAAAACCGAAATTAAAACTTTCCAGAAGGCGAAGTTTTACCCAATCTAGCTGCAATTTGGCGCCGAAAAATTTTCCTTCTGTAGAGTCTGACCTAAGAAGCGGTGATCAAATGCGTATTAGTCCTAAATATAGCAATTCGATTATCGACATTGAAGGAGTCAGTTCTACCACACGCCATAACTACACTGATGAAGAATACGACTATGATGATGATGATGATGATGAATACGCTGGCGAGGGTGAAGAGGACGAGGATAATGTTGGTGACAGGTATAAAAAGAATTATGTTGAGAGTGTCTTTAGATGTGTGGAAAATAGCTACAAACAACTGAAACGGAGTAATGGAACTGCGTTACCCCCCAATGACAGAGTTTCAGCTCTAAGCAGGGACCAGTCGGCAGAGTTGTCGTCTTCATCCAATCGTCAAGGCATAGTTAGCTTCTTTATTCCACCTCACAGAAAGCAGCATCTGCTCAATTCCTCTGGATTAAAAAATTTTGGCCCGCCAAAAGAGGTCAGCCTTCATTGCTCGCTTGCACAGCAAGTATTGGCTGATCAAATTGTCAGAAGTAAGTCGTGTTACTCTGAGAGGCGACATCCGATCAGACGAGGCAGGAAGTTGAAAGGAAGCAAACCAGTGTGTATTATGACTAACGGAGATAGCGAAGAGGATCGCATTCGCTTAATCCAGCTTGTTGCAGGTCCCCACCTTCCCGACAGCCTTGTTGTAAATCTAGCTCGCGCTCTACCCTCTCGAGACCATCTGGTTGGCTTTCTTTCGTATCCGGGCCTGCTGGAGGACATCCGGTTGCTTATGGTATTCTTACGACTGTTGCCTCGACTACCTGCTCATTTCGAAGAGCTTCTTTTTACCGAGGCCGACCTCTCACGACAGACATTAACAGCCTGTCTACAGCGCTACTCAGCCTTTCTTTTGACCTTCCACACCCCTGATCCAGTCACTGCTTGCTTCACGGGGATAAATTGGCCCGATTGAATATTTTGATTTTCTACACCCTCTGATTTCGCTTTTCTACACCCTCTGATTTCGCTTTTCTGTTTTCAAGAGGGTGCATCAATTTTCCACCAATCGATAGTT